CTCCTGATACACCCCAGGATGCCATTGGCCTTCTTGGCCACAAGGGCACAGTGCTGGCTCATGGTCATCCTGCTGTCCACCAGGACCCCCAGGTCCCTTTCCCCTACACTGCTCTCCAACAGGTCATTCTCCAATTTATACTGGAACCTGGGGTTGCTCCTGCCCAGATGCAGGACTCTGCACTTTCCCTTGTTATATTTCATTAAATTATTCCCTGCCCAACTCTCCAGCCTGTCCAGATCTCGCTGGATAGCAGCACAGCCCTCTGGCGTGTCAGCCACTCCTCCCAGCTTGGTGTCATCAGCAAACTTGCTGATAGTACACTCAGTTCCCTCATCCAAGTCATTGATGAATATATTGAATAATACTGGCCCCAGTACTGACCCTTGGGGCACTCCACTAGTTACAGGCCTCCAACCAGACTCCGCCCCATTGACCACAACTCTCTGGCTTCTTTCCTTCAGCCAGTTCATAGTCCACCTCACTACCCGTTCGTCCAGTCCACACTTCCTCCAATGGGATTAAGAAAAGTATCTATCCATTATCATGCAAAAATGATAGTAAATAATATGTTTACAGTCAACAGTTTCAAGTGCTTTTGATATCAGAAAAATAATGCTTAACTGATCTGTTCCAAATAACGAAAGAACCATAAGACTATGGTCTACAGAAGTGTCATTGCAGGGTGTTCTGGTTTTGCTGGGATAGAATCACAGAATCAATTTTCTCTTCAGGAGAGCTGCATTTCTGAGAAGATTACAGTACTTACTTTATTGAAAACAAAGTTGATAAGACATTTTGTTTGTTTTTGGTCGACACTGGTATGCAGTGATCAAGTTTTTTAGGAGTTTTGAGTTAGCCAGGTGCAGAAGCTGGAGGGAGCAAAAGTCAAAGGAGCGGACCCAAGCTGGCTACAGAATTATCCCATACCATAAATGTCATACTAACTACAAATTGAGGATTTTGCTGGGGATGGCTCTGTTTCCTGGATGGTTATGACTTCTGGAGGTTCTCACCTTTCATTCTGTCCCCAGGCCATACTCCCCCACTCATTGTGACCATCTTGTTTTTGCTTGAAGCTGTTGTGCTAGCAGTGTTTATTATGTCATCTAATATTCACTGCTGGGAGTGCACAGCCAGCAACTGCTGTATGAATTGAGTATAACTTTGTGTGGTTTCATTATTGTTGTTGTTCTTATTATTACAATTTATTATTATTGTCAATGTTGTTATTATTAGTTTACTTTATTTAAATCATTAAAGTGTTCCTATGTCAACCCACAACTGTTCTGATCTTTCTTCTCTGATTTTCTCCCCCATTTCACTGGGGAAGGAGAGAGTAAGTGAGTGGCTGTGTGGTGTTTAACTGCCTGTGGGGTTAAACTATGACACAGGGGAAGACTCAGAATTAAAAATGTATTTGCTTATGACAGAAGTTTTCTTTAAAAAAAGGAATGTAACTATGCTTGATCTATTTGAAAAAGACTTCTGTCAAGAAGTTGCTCTCTGAGGCTCCTGTTTTCTCTGGGTTAAGTTTCTATGGGTTAGATTGCAGGAATTCTTGGAATCTAGAAAATGAGAGGCAAAAGTGAGATGTCTTCTTTGCAGTTAACCTACATGAGACTTCTGCCTCTTTAATCTTGAGTAATATGCTTGGCTTAGCTTAGTTACACCTAGATTCTGATTTTACTTCAGCAGAGTCAATGATCATACTCTTTCAAAATTCGTAAGGCAGTATCCATTTGGGTTTAGATAAAGCTACTTCCCCCCTGCTTTACTGTGCCTTTCTGGGATGCAGTAAGAAAAAGAGGTTAAAGACAGACCCATTAAGATTCTTCCTGGAAACATGGTGCAGCCAAGTGACTACATTCAGCCTACACCTTTGCAGCCCCTCCGTACCTGGGAAACTCCATGTGGAAAAAAGGGCTACGGAACATTCCAGCAGGAAAAACCACCATATGGTGCCTTATTGAGTAGTATGAATGCACAGTCCAGGGAGACACCTGCCAGCTAGAAGCAGAAAAAAAGAAATGAGAGAATGTATTAACTCCTTATCTCATACCTTGCTTCTTTCCTCCCCTGGGCTTGTAAAAATGGTCTGCTCAGTACAACTGTTTATACAGAAGCAGCAAATTATGAAATTCACATTATCTAAAGATAAAGGTGTTTGAAATAAACCTACAATTGTTTACAGATGGTCAGAGCTAGTGGCTTAGCTTTCATACATGTTAAGTGATTCACCCTCACAACTTCCCTGTCAAGTAAGCCAGGGTTAGTAACTTCCTGTGACGTCCTGCAAATTCTTGTAAGGTCCCAAGCATGCCTATCAACGCTGCCTGCCTTCTGAAGTATTTTATGTCCTGCCTTTGAGGTGACTTTGCCAGCATTCACGTCATCACAGTGCTTTGCTGTTTGCTTTGCTGCTTGCTTTGCTGCTAAGACCAGGAGAAACTTCCTTACTCAAAGGTTCATGGGCAAAAATAGTTCTTTTTCCAGGGGTCTGGGGCTCACTTCAAAATGGTGGGGTTTTTTGGTAGCATGAGATTAGGCTAAATACAAGACAGGCTGCCAAATTCAAGGCTCTTTTTTTTTTTTTTTTTTTTTTTAAGAAGGATGCAGCAATGCAGTCTTGCAGCAAAGGACAATAGCATCTTGTCTTGCATTAGGAGAATTGTCACTGGCAGGTCAAGAGAGGTGATTTTGCCCATCTATTCAGGACTGGCAAAACCAAAACTGAAAGAGTACTGTGTCCAGTTCTCCTCCTTCCAATTCCTCCTCCCCCACAACCCCTGCCCCACCGTACCTGTCCTCCTCCACCTTACCCAGTAAAAGAGAGATATAGACATACAATTGAGCACAGTCCTGAGTGACATGCTCTAGCTCTGGCTGATCCTTCTTTGAGCAGGAGGGTTGGACTAGGTGGTCTCCACGGGTCCCTTCCAACCTTAGTTGGTCCACAAGTGTATGATTCCGACACTTACTTGTCCTGTGAGTGATGCTGAAGGAGTTTCAAGTAGGAATTTTCCCTCAGTACTTTCAAGCAAGCCACTACATTGAGGAAAAAGGTGTCTTCATTTATCTCCAACTGCGGGAAGAGACAGGTAATGTGACTATCATAGGGTATGGGAGCAAGGAATGAATTGGACAGTATGAGAAAGAGAAAAGTCCCATGGGTCAAAAAAGGGTTCATCAAAAGACAAACCAATGGAATACTTGTGGGTTTTTCTCTCCCAGTTCTAAAGACCTTCAATTTAAAATATGACAGGAATGTTAATTGGAAGGCAAACAGAGCATACAAGCAGGTCACAAGCAATCTCTATCAGTCCAGCCACTCTAAACAGGAGACAGCACAGGTAACAATATAGACAGAATAGATAAAGATTCTCTGAGCCCATATGTTCTCAGAAAATGAACATTAGTTCATGTGCATTGCTCCAGAGGTCATAGCCTCTTTTAGCAGCAGACAAGATAGCAGTTGGTACGGGTAAACTGCCAAAAATGAGGCAGGTATTGTTTACATTATATAGCTCACATTCTGGTATTCCAGGTTCACTTTGGCAGTCTGGAGTATGTGAGCTGGATAGCCAATCTCCACTCGTAGTTTGGAAACCTAAAGTCATAACAAAGAAACAAAAAACAAACATGACCAATAGGTGGCTTTGCATGCTAGAAGTCCTTTTAAAACTCTACTTCTAAACAACCTAAGTACAATCTGTGAATCAGTCCTTCCAAATGACAGGTACTCTGTTTCAACAAGACACCTTCTCTTGTGACTGCTTTCTTAACTCAATGACATAAGGCCTAATATTATTCTACTCTTCTTTTTCTTGATAGTATCATTTTCTGGCATTCAGCTTTATAGTTTTTAACCTCTCTAGGTTTATAAAGCTGACTTGTATCTCAATACAATTAATTCAGAATATCCATGGACAAACACTGAGCCTCTCCATGTCTGCACATATATGTATGATCACACATGCATTATGGCATTTATAAAAACATACAATTTTCAGTGTGTATAAGATAACTATTTAAGATTGTATGCCTGTGGAAGCAGGTAGGAATATGTGAAGGTGCAGGCCCCTTCCATTCCTTCTCCAAAGACTTCAGAGAAAGGAAGGCCTCAGTAACTTCTGCCTTCTGCACGCACCAAGACTTTAGCCTCTTGGCGAGTCCGTTCATCCATCCACTCCAACTGATCCAGTTGGCCATAAAGGGCATCTTGGATCTCAAAGAACATCTGCTCAGCCTGCCATGGGAAAACAAGACATGGTCAGAACTGCAGAAAAACATTGTTCAGGCTTAGCTGCCATCTTCCCGTGTTCCAGCAATTCAACCACAGAATAACTGGAGGAAAATTCCTCTTGTGATAAAGGAGGAGATTTCAGTTTCTACAATGATTTAAACTTAAGTTATTTGGCATCCAGTGGTTCCTCACAGAGTGTACCATTTTCTCTCACACACCTTTTCACCTTGCCTCTCACAGTAAATAAGAGGGAGACATAATTCTTTTTCATTCAATTCCTGTTGGGATAAGAATGGATCAAACAATTGTCCCACTTCTTGAGTGAAATGAAAATTCAGTATTCACAATTATTTCATGCTGGAGCCCCATTTCCAAAGATATGGCAATCTGAGTCTCTCCTTCACAAAATTATGTTTCGTTCATTCAACTTTACGCTTCATTACACATAGTCTTAGTTTTCCCATTAAATTTTCTTGGGATTATTTACTCTTGTGACTTTATACACTGCAAAGTCTTTATAAAACCTGATGCCTACACTAATTTCCCTCTAAAGAAAAAGGAACTCTGATTATTAAAGAAAAAAATGAAATATTTTCCACATTGCAGGCAGGTGTTCCTTTTACAATGGATCCACTCAGAATATTTTGGCATTGATTTGTTTCTGTACAACCGGTCATATGATGGCTCAATGGTTTTGCAATTGAAAATCTTATTTAAATATGTCAGATTGGTGATGAATACTGTTAATACTAACTGCCATTCCAGGAAGCACACTGAGATTGCATGCATCTGTAGGGCTGTCATAGGTACTGGTGCTGCACACATGACTGCTAACAGTTGAGGTAAAGATAATAATCGGTATTTTAGCATTGATTATTCTAGCAATGACAGCAATGTCTTGTTCTGGTATCTTTCATTCCGAAAAAAGGAGGGGAAGTGCGTAAGTACAGCAATATGTAAAAAGGTTTAAAATCTACACATGATCTTACTGCCTTGATGTGGTCTTAAATTGGCACGTCAAAAAAAAAAAAGAAAGAGATGAAGATGAGCTCTGCTTGGGGGTTAAGAGAATGAATACCTACAAGTTTCTTGTTCTGCTGAGGGAAGATCTCCTGTACTATCATCTGTCCTAGAACTGGCTCAAAGAAAGAGCTGGTATCAGTCAAGCACTTCCTCCAGCGCTCAGCTGGGATCTGTAAGAACAGAGAAAGAAATAGAGACATGAGAGTGAGGACAAAAAGAGAGAAAGACAGTAAAAAGATACATAAATGTGAAGTCAGTAGTATATATGCTGCTATCTAAAAATTACAGTAGTGAATGCTAAGTAATGTAGTTCCATTTAAGCTACCTCAGAAAACCTGAACCAAGTAGAACATTGATTTCCCTATGGTTCACTCCACTTTCTTTCACACAAGATGAAGATTCATATGCTAGCTGAGACAAATACACAGAAGAAAGGTGACCATTCATCTACTGCTCCTTACCCCATGATACAGTGCACTAAGGTCTCTAAAGTTTTGTGTCATGTTTACTCCCACATTTCTTTGAGAAAAAGGAAGCATTTAATGTCCCCAAATCTAAGAAACTCCATCCAGATAAGGCATCAAGAGAACATCCAGAAGGCACATCCTAGGGTGTTCAGCTGCTGGGGAGACTGAAGAAGACAGTTAAAAGCTAACTCACCATTCTAGATACCATTTTTCCATAAAGAATCTTAGATAGCTCCAGGCGTGCATCTTGGAATCGACTGTCAAGGGCTGGGGAGAGATTCCCAATCAGACAAACAACCATATAAATGTGAAGGACCCTGTAGGAAAATGGCGTTTAAAAAGATTGAAGATTGAAGGCTGGTTGTTATAAACACAGAGGTGTGGCAAGTGTCAGAGGAATAATTTGAGGCAGAGGAACCCTAGTAACCTGAGTGATGACAACAAAGTGCTTTGAATAGGCTACACCTGGGGCTATCAAAGGAGGATGATTTGACATGAGTCAACCGAAGAAACTCTCTCCCAACACCACAGAGACTCAAGGGGTAATTGCCTGCTGGGATATGGGATTCTTTATGTGAAGCAGGAGAAAGAGCATTTTTAGGACTGGGTGAAAGTTATTATAGAATACTTTGAGAGAGTCTGTGGGATTCTGGGAGACTTATTTTGGGGTGTTTATGGGAAGGACCAAAGGCAGGGAAAGGGAAGGACAGTGGTGGATTGTGGTGAACATGTATAAGGAAAGGGAGAGGAAAGGTGGCAAGAAGGAATGGTTGAGCATAAACCTGAGGCTTGCCAGGATGTCTGTCTGACTGAGCTCTGCAGAGGGTCACTAGGATCTGTCCTATCTTACTAGATGCTTCTCTTAAATAATATTCTACTCTCTGTGTGTGTGGATGGGACTGGACACTGGAAAGACATGGAGTCTGAAATTTGACTGCCAGAGGGACTTTGGTTCAAGATAGCTGCTGGAGAGACCAGGGGTGTGAGAGTTGGCTACTGGAAAGACTAGTGGTTTGGACCAGCTACTGGGGACATCTGCTTGTATACATGTGTTTGTAACAGGAAGAGACCAGTGTAGCAGCAACCAAAGTGAGGCTCAAGCAAGACTCAGGTGCTCATATATCCAGGTCCCAGCAACTGTGGACACCAGTCTGAGGGGATCTCAGACCAGCTTCTGGACAGACTGAATATTGAAGACTAGCTATTGGAATGACCCATATTGTGTGTGTACATATATATATTTCACTAGCATAAACCAGTCCTGATCAGCCAAAGAGGAGCAATAGGATCAGGCTGTCTCAGCTGCTCATGTCTGTATGAGTGCTGTGGGTGCCAGTAAAAGCATTGTGTTCCATCTCTGTTGATCTGTGTGACACACACACATATATATATTTATATGGGTGTACACATATGGTGTCTGCATGTGGAAGCCTATTAGGAATATATGCTAAGCCTTAGTACTGGCTAAACCTGTGAATACAGAGCCTTGTGATTGTTAGGCTACTGGATTCAGCAGACTCTAACACAGATATCTTTAATTTATAGTATCTGAAGTTAATATTTATTGAGACATGAACACCTACAACCTAGATATTGACTCCTACCTTGTCTTGTGCCATTTTTCAATGAGCTGTGACATGCCTTTTAAGTAATCCATGTCATGCACTGCAATTGGCTGAGAGAGGTTCATTGGCATAGGATGGAAGACAGCCTGGAGACATGACAGCCAGTCAATAGCAGGTGCCTTTTCCTAGAAATAAAACAAAGCTTAGATGCTGAACTATGAATCTAAATTGACTGACAAGAAATAAAAGAGAAACTGGGATAGTCTCTCTAATACTGTTAGGAGATACTTTCAACAAGTTAATAAGTATTTATAATGTGGGTATTGATTATAATAGAAAAGGAGAACTGATTTTCATAGAATCATAGAATACCAGGTTGAAAGGGACCACAAGGATCATCTAGTCCAACCTCTCAAGGTAAAAGTAGAGTTTAAATGAGATGAGTCAGTACCCTGTCAAGCTGACTCTTAAAACTGACCAATGTAGGGGAAATTACCACTTCCCCTGGGAGAATGTTCCAATATCTGATTGATCTCATGGTAAAAAGATGTCTTCTGGAGTTCCATTTTTTGTTGTTTTTTTGTTGTTGTTGTTGTTGAAATAACACTGGGGAGGAGGAGAGAGTTGTGGGCTTGAAAAATCTAGCTGCTCTCAACAAAAGGCTGTAAGTTAATAGGTTATTTAAAGCTCAACAGACTCCAAGTGTAAGTTTCAAGGGAATGGCATCTAAACATTTAAACAACATGGATTTGGATCTTCAGAATGTGAATTTCACATGTAATTGTGTTGCTCAAGTTTTAAGGCATAAATACCTGTAGCTCCTTAATGGTAGTGCGAAGGAACAGCATCCTCCTCTGCTGTCTTTCCTGCAGTGGGGTGACAACTTGCTGGAGGTTAGAGATGAAGGACAAGGTAAGGGAAAAGGAATCAGGGGAACCATCCTGTGGCACTCCAAGTAGGTCCCCCAGTTTCATCAAATATGAGAGATACACACGGAGAACCTGCAATACAGAGCATATGACCAGTGGGAGAAACATGACTGAAAACTAGTCACCCCATTTATCCATCCATCCATCTAGCCATCCATTTTCACCTAATAAGTGTCAATCTTTCAAAACCACTGCAGCCCCATCTTTAAAACTGTCTTCTTCAGTGCAACATTCTCATGTAATTCTTCATGCTGAACACAGTTTGACAATTACAGCTCCTCTCTCAGTGAAGAAGACTGAATTCTCAAAAGGTTATTTCTGTCCCAGCTTACAATTACATTAAATACTGGAATAATTTTTGAGTTGTAGGCCTGCCATCACAAGAGTCAAGACAGAGATATAGTGATACAACAAGCTGGTATTTTTGATGGAGAAAAATTGCCAACTTCTTGCTTCTGTGTTGATGAGGTATCAAAGCAACTCCTGTGATGGGTAGACAGGCCTATTTTCTTCAGGACTCTTCTGAAAGAGCCAGACTGAAAACTGTAATCAACTCAGTTTTTATAAAGTTTAGAAAAATGACAGAGCTGTGATGAAATGAACTTTGTTGCAGTAAGTCCCAAGGTCAAAGAGCTTGTTTCCCAAGCTTAGGTTAGAACACTTTAAAATCACTTTTAAAATGCTAGCGAACCCCCTCCACCTCCAAATACACAGATTTTAAGTTATAAAGCCTTACTTTGGACAAGAACATTTTCTTTACACATTCATTGAAGGTGAAACCTAGAGGGAAGCCCAGGTTCATATTACTTAGCAAATGCAAATTAGAACTATAACATTTTCTTTCTGCACTAGAAGTTTCAAACCTGGCATCTAAAAATGGGTTACATTTTACAAACTATCTTTTTGGAAAAGTAGAGAGTTTTGTAAAGAATTCTTTCTGGTGATATCTTCAGAGGTCACTGACCGTAACCCATGGAAACAGACCACTCTGAACCAGGAGGCAATTCAAGGACATCCCTACACCAAATAGCTATTTTTACCTTTCTTCAGCCTCTGATATGTTACCTCGAGATAATTTTGCTTTTTGAGTTTACTCTCAGGTGGCATCTCAAACTCAGGATGGTCAATCTGTGAAAAGGAATAAAGAAAAAACATCTTGCTATTTCCAGAAACGCTGAAAACGTGAAGATATGTTCAGTAGGATTTGTTAATTTCTGTGTCACAGAATTTGAAATGTTAATAAATTGCTTTTACTTCTGGAAAATGTTTGCTAAGTAATTTTTGCGGATCTATGATATTCTGCAGCTCATTTGCAAGTTCATTACACATCTGTGATGACTGATATTCAAATGTAAACCACATTGTTAAATATTTCTACACGGTGCACTGATTTTGGCTGGGATTGAGTTAAATTTCTTCATATTAGCTTGTATGTCTGTTTCCTATTTGTCATGAAAACAGTGCTAATAACAAAAGGATTTTTTAGTTATTTGGTTATTGCTGAGCAGTGCTTTCACAGCGCTAAGGCCTTCTCTGCTCCTCACTCCACTCTGCCAGCAAGTACATTGGGGGTGCACAAAAAGTTGGGAGTGGATGCAGCTGGGACAACTCACCCTAGCTGACCAAAGATATAGTCCATGCCATATGACATCATACTCAGCAGTAAATACGTGGGTGAAGGAGGTTGGCCAGGATACAACCTACACTGTTAGACAGAAGAGATGAGAGAAAGTTAAGAAATTTATTTCTTCTCATCTGCTCATTTTCCAGAAATAAGTGCTATTTTATGTAATAAAAGGAAGAAGTTTACTGAAATTTAGGAAAACTTTCTTTGGAGAACATAGGCTTAACTTGAGCAAGCGTGGGTCTCATGGGCTGTCTAACTGACTCTTTAATTCCAGTGCTTCCTGATAATTTTCTCTCTTTAGCCCACTCACCTGAATAATATTGGTCTTAACGTCAAAAGGATTAGGTCCCACATGGACTCTGAAAAAGGGAAAAGTGCTGTATCTGCCCATGAGAGTCTGAAGAGTTTCATTAAAATCTTTCACTTTCCCCACACCTGTGATATTCCATCCACCAACCTAGAGAGGGAGAGAGACAGCATGACAGCAGGTGAGAAAAACATTTGTTCATTCTGTATTTACAAAATATTTTTTTCACTCCTATAAGCTCAGTCATTATGTCAACTAAGAAGCAGCAAAGCAAACAGCAACAGGGGAAGCTCATGAAGATTTCTTCTACATACCCTGTTGGCTTCAAACTGACCTGTCACTTTCACTTAAGCAAAGCATCAAACTGCAAAATGACACAGGGAAAAGGAATGATAATTATTAACAGAACAAGGTGTAAAGGAAAAAAGCAGGAGAAGGGAAGAGGAAAGCAGTCTCAATCTTCTAAAGCCATCCAGAAGGACAACCAGGTATCAGGGATTATAATTCCCATCTCCCTGACAAGCAGATTCACAGCTGGTCCTGCAGTCACTGTTCCTTCTGCTGGAAGGTTCTGCATCCTCCTGGGGACAGGGCATAAATGCCCTCTATTGGCAGAAAGATGTGCAATGCTCCCTGGCACTGAGAGGAGTCTCCCACAATGGAAAGAAAAACATTTTCCTCTTTCAGCAAGCTCCCCTGAAGCCTGGATGAGTGGATAGCCATCAGATCTTAGATACAAAACTTTCACCAATTTTGCAAATTGTTCCCTGATCTGTAAGTTGGATCCTATTGAACTGAGCTTCTGAGATTAAAAGTGATCCCTCTTTACAGTCTTGGTTGTTGTACAGTCCTAAAGTAATATGTAAGGTCATGAAGATAGATTCAGGAACCTGATGTCAGAAAATCAGATTTTGAAACAGCATTTAAAGCTAGATGATTTATCACTTAGAAGCTGTGCTGTGAACCATGAGCTTGTTTCAAGGCCAGATGCTAGCAAAATTCCATCATGTAGGACCATATCACAGAATCACAGATTCACAGAACGTTAG